CTTTGTAGATATGTGAACTCAACCCCTCAAGAACAGGCTTATAGACCTTTAAGTATTCACAAGGGTGAATATTCATTTTGCAATGAAATGTTTAACCATTGTGCTTCATCAGGAATTGAAATCTTTTAAGCAAGTGTTTTTCTCTTACAGCACCCTAGAACAAAACATCCTATTCTCATTTTATCAAAATTTAATTCAGACCAATTCTACAGGCTGTATTGTATGATTTCCCCGTATCATGCTCTCCTGGAAAGAGCAGACGTCGAGCAAGAAGACACACACAGTCACCAGGCTTCTGGGTCTCAGTTAAATGGTGAGGATTGAAACAGGTCATTGTGCTCTCAATGAGAGTTGCCAAAGGGGAAATGTAGGTCAGGGTGGCTGTGTGTGGTTGGGCAGGTTGTGCAGTGCACAAAGACTCCACATCTGAGGAGGCACCATACTACATCTCAGACTTTGTTGATCTGTATACTTCCCAGGACAATTTTCTGACAGATGGCACCAGAGTGTCCTGCTCTAATAAAATCAATGTATTACAATAATTTGTAGACACACAGAAATAAATACTCGGAAAAATGTCATTGGAAAGCTGTTTTTTTTTAAAATTCACAGACAGCACCGCACAGATAAGAGGAAGGCCTGTGTAGGGTATGAAGGCAGTAGACAATGAGTCTGTTTAACTTAGTTTAGAAGCTAGGAGAAGCCTCCTGAGGAAGAGAGTTTACCTGAGACAAGAAGTGTTAGCAGTAGTTTAAAATTTTATTATAAACTCCACAGAATATCCAACTTAATTTCCTTTTACTGGATTTCTGGTATAATAAATTGTTTCCCACAAAACATATTCTCAAATCACAATTTGATCTGAGAAACATCTGCCATTTGGCCTCTCTGTAGTTAATTAGCAAGTGAACAAAAGTGTTATGAAGCCCGAACAAGAAGATGGAAAAAACTGCACACATGTCTATTAATAGATTGCTATGCTTTTCCTCTGACAAACTCCTGTGTCTGTTTTTTAAAATGTGCTTTGTCTTAGTAGGTTATTTGGAAATCCTGGTGTTTTCCAACATGTTACAGTAGGGAATGCATGGAGGAGTTGAAGGTTAATGGCTGCTTAATGGCTGAACAAATGAGCTGTGAGGATCCCACTTTTCTGCTCCCTTGTAAATTAACCATCGCACGGTTAAGAACAATGAAACACATTTCTTGAATTGGCTCATCCATTTTAGAGAATTTAACCATCAGCCATCTCCAGGGGCATGGAAGTATATGCCATTATAAAGAATAATGTACTTTGTTTCTACATAATAATAATTATAAATCACAGTGACAATAGCTAGTGTTGTCATTACGTCAAATACTGTACTATGTATCCAACACTGTTCTCACTTAGGTCCTTGTATTTACTCAATTCTTTTCCACAGTGACCTCTCAGATAGAAACTATTTTTGTTCCCATTCTACAGAGTGGGGATCTGAGGCATAAATTGGTTTTAACAACTAGCCCGAGGTCACAGAGCTTGCCAATGGTAGAACTGAGATTTGAATCCTGGCAGCACATCCCTAAAGTTTGTGCTCTTGACCATTCTGTGGCCCTGGTTTATTGGAGGGAGTATCCAGCCTAGGCTCTAGATGAAATTGAAAAGCATTAATTAATTAATGGAAACCCAAACACAAATCAACATCTAGAATCAACCACATACTGCTAGAATAAATAGCATTTTACTCAGAATAAGCTTTTGGACCTATTATTCACGGAGAAAGACCTTCAGTGAGAAAAGTAAAGTAAAATGAAAAGACGACACAGGGATACAAAGGCTCTGATACTCTCTCTCAAAAAGCTGGACCCAGGCCTGGCCATTCAGACTCACCTATGCACTGAGGTTATTCCCTGGTGTACAATCTCCATGGCGAGGCACAGGCTGAATCTCTAGCATGATGTGACTGCTTGTGAGCATTGTCTTAAAAATTCCCTAGAGAGTTTTCTGCAGAGCTGTTGTCCCCTGAGCTGCTTCCTATAAAAGCACCTTTGGTTGATAGGTTTTGGACGCCTGGCCTACTGCATCTGCCTCTGAAAGACTCACAGTGAGCATGGGCCTGTCCCAGGCTCCCAAGAAGCCCCACGCTAATGACACCTGTGCAACCTTTTAAATCCTAGACTGCAGAAACCTATGTGATTTTGGAATTCTTTGTTTCTCAGAATACCTATGAATCTACCTATAAAACTAATGTTTGGGAAATGCTGCCTGAGGCTGAGCACGTCAGTGAGGAGCAGAAGGACACACAGAGACGGGAAAAAAGAATAGGAAGGAGGATGGTTCCAGGCGGGAAAATGTGGGTAGAGAGCAAACTGAAAGCCCAATATACACACACATACATAGATAGTGCAGGAATTTTGATTATGTAAGACAAAATAGCAGGCCTGACATATTAGCAATCGTATGGGTAGTAAGCTCGGGACACATGTTTACCCATATAGTGTCTCCTATCTTCTGGAAAAGGAAAAAGGAGCACAGTGTGTTGGTATGAACGAGACCACCTAAGAAGAGGAACGATGATGAAAGGCTTAAGGGACTTAATGTACGCCGACTTAGGGCTAAAACTATCATAATGTACTGGATTTTAATTGTCTTTTTTTTTTTTTTGAAAAGCAACGAAAGACAGAAGAAAAATCAGAAAAGGTCATGCAATTTCCCGTGCAGCATTGCAATAGATAGTAACTTTTTTTTTTTTTAATTCAAAGGGAGGTTTGATTCCTTTCTTAAAACTCCCAAGCAATAATAGGGGAAAAAAAGTTCTAGCATAGAAAAGTAGAGATTTTCTTCCTCATCTGTAGACACAGCCAAAGATATATCTGTTTTGAAAACACCTTCCCTTTCACTTCGAATTCTGTAGAGTTTCTAGAATCTTTATAAAGAATCTCCGGGTAACAGGGAGTTGTTCTAGGGAAAATCCTCCATTGCCAGCAGTCCTGTACCCACCCACAACGCATTATAAGAACCTAAATTCACCTCGGGAGTGCTGTGGGAATGTTATTTATGAGCATACATTACTGTTTGCAAAGATTGTAAAGTAGGAAATGATTTGTGTTAGAAGCTGTAAGTTCATTTCTTTGAATCATGTTAGATGGGCAGAGAGGGAGGTAGCTAAAAATATTCCGAAGTTGAAATACTAATCGGAGCTAACAGCACACAAAGAAAACTGATCTGCTGCATGAAGAAAGGCCCACCTGTCAAAGCAGTGGGCTCCGGGTTGGAAGGTGGGGGTGCTGGCCCGGCGGGGGACCTGGGGAGAACAGGACACTCTTTCTGAGCGGAAGGTTGGGAAACTTAAGCTTCCAGTTATTAATAAGAACCTGGAGCAAGTCATACCCGGATGAGCAGATGCACAGGTGGCTCCACGGAAGGTCTGTGAGGGGGTGCCCTGCTGGCCCTGAAGCTCTGGAAACTTCCCAATTCCCACCTCAGGCCCCATGAGGCCTGGCTGTACTTCATTTCTGTGAAATCTCTGATCCTTACAACAGTATTTACATCAATATTCCCCCTTCGTTTGAGCGAGCTAGAGTAGCTCCCTTTCTCTTATACCCTCCCCTAAAAAGGTTTCCCAAGGCTGGGAGACAGGAGATACATGGAGAATTTCAATACAGTGTGGTGCACTCGCCCCTCCCCCAGCTAGCTGCCTGATACGCACTTTTTTCTTTGGCTATTTCATGGAAACTGAGCATAAAGCAGAATAGAAACAAAACTAAAGATCAGCACTCTATGCACGGTCATTGTAAAGAATAATACACGTTCAGAACAACTGGAGTCTGTAGAGATAAGCTGGCAATGTAATTAGATTTTTTATGTGCTATTTCTCAGATTTGGAGATGAAAAGTAATCTAGAATGTTCATGTACATGTTATGTGCACTAAATAGAAAACAAAGTTCACCCAATTTGCTCACTTTACCAGAATGTTAAAAATGATTATTACATAAATTGAGTGCCTCTTCAGTGTAGTAACAGTATAGCTACTTTAAGCAAGCAATTTCTAGAAAGCAAAATAAGTGTTTTTTGCTAAATATTCTATCATGTATCATGAAAGTATTTTAAATAAAATATTTTAAATGATTAAGAAGGGGAAACTACTTTCAAAATAAAATTCTCCTTGAATATACACTGTTTCAGTTTAAACTATGCTTTCTTTAAGAATATCATAATTGTTTTTGGAAAAAATTAAAATTGGGATATGTAAACACATGATATGCTTGATCTGATTGTTAACAGATAATGACTATCAACCTGTTTCTATTTCCATGAAGGTTCTAAATTCACAGAAATTTAGAAACATGCTGTTTCCATAGCAGCAGATAAAGAGTAAAACCAAAAAGATTTTATTGATTTTAACAGGGCTTAGAGAATTTGTTCTCCTTTGTAGCTGTGATTTTTGCTTTTTTTTTTTTTTTTTTAGTCTTTAGCAATATCTCATTTTCTCTTTTCCAAATGTATTTAGTAAATTATATAAATTTTGAATGTAGGTAAGTGTGACATTACTGTAAAATTACACATTCTTATAGTGATGTAGAATAACTAATATTTAATTCTTAATGTCAAAGAGATGCTAAACTATGGAGTCAGGATCAGGCATCAAAGACTCCACATGTAACATCAGCTTAATATATGAATAAAACATTGTATTACAGATGCTTTTAGATAATTCATTAATGATTAAAAGCACAGTATAGAATTTTCTGTTACTGTTGATTTATTGAGAATCAGACACTGGGAATCAGGCTTTTAAATGTAAGTGTTAGAATTACAAAATGCAATTTTCTTTGTGGTTAAGGTTGCAGCATGACAGTGAGTAATGGAAATGAGTAGCGTAATTTTTCCATGTTAACATGCTAAGGAAACAGGGAATAGGCTTTCTTCCTTTGTGCGTTTATTATTTCAGTTGTATGTTTTTCTCCAGTTATTCTGATCTCTTAAAATTTCTATTTGTCAAGACTCAGCACAATGGCTCACCTGTAACAGACATGCAGCCTAACGGGGCGATGAGAGTAATGGGAGCAAATCCATAGGCTGCAAAGTTCCCGGTCTCTCCCACGGCCATCAGTAGGATTCCCCCCCACCACAGCACGCTCTTGAAGTACGGCCTCGGGTGCTCTTGTTGTGCCAACTGAAGATGAGAATATTTCTGGAAGTAAATCAGAACATAAATAAGAAAGTATTTCCACTCAGTTAAAACTTGTCTTGAAAGTTTTGGTCCTATAAATTTGCATTGTGGCTTTTAAATTCATTCTAAAATTCATGGAGATTATTACAGAGAAATTATTACGGTCTCCTGTTTGCTCCAAACGTATTAACAGTAGAAGGAACTCATGTTTATATAGCATTACTTTAAAGAACCTTTTTACATATGAATGTTGCTTAATTCTCATAACAGCTCTGTAAAATAAGTGTCATTATTACTATTTAAAGATGAGATATATGTTAAGGAGTTAAGTGACTTTCTAGTTCACTGCACGAAAACATTTACCTTAGAATGTCAAAAAACTACAGATGCCAAGATAAACATTAGTGAAACAAAGATAATAAATTACTGAAGAGAAACTTTTTGAAAGGGATTCATATTTATGGATCAAAGTACCTACCACTATAAACATAGCAGAGCAGAGTGCTTTGGTAGCAGGGAGTCATGGGGTGACTCTTACTTGTATCTGGTTTGAGTGTTTCTTTGTATTCGAAATATGTAAATTCCTGAAAAACCGGCCATTAAATGAAGCCCTATTTCCCTAATGCTTTTATGATAACTAAACATACTTCCTGATAAGAAGTATAAACAATTCCAGATTACTTAAATTTCTTTAAAAAGAAAATGATGAAAGTACTAGAGGAAAACATGGAACATAAAAAACAAAATCTTGGCATAAGGAATACCTTTCTAAACATGATGCAAAGTCATAAGCCAGACAAGTCAAAACTGATAGATTTTACCGTATTTTAAAAACTGTACAGAGAAAATACCACGAACAAAAATAAAGCATAAACGATAGCAGAGTGGGAGAAAATATTTGCAATATATATAATGAGAAAGGGTTATCGCTAATATAAAGAGAATTTCTACAAGTAAATAAGAAAAAAGACAGACTTCAAGAGATATTATAGAAAGCATATGAAATAGTAACTATTACAAATAAAATTACAAGTAAGAAAAAATTCTCAATCTCATGAATAACCAAAGAATTGCAAACAATTTAAATCATGAAATATTATTTTCATCTATCAGCTGTCTTTCTCTCCCCTCACCAAATATTAATGATACATGGCATTGAGAATACGGGGAATGGTCACTGTCAAACACTGCTGGCGTGAGTATCACATGGTACAATCCATGTAGATGTCAATTTGGATGAACTTAGCAATATTGAAAAGGAATACACCCTTTGACCTACAGCATGCTCACACAAGCATGCAAGGTATATGTATCTTTATATAAATATATGTAGATAAATATTCATTTCATTATTTGTAATAGCAGAAAACAAGCTATATCTCCTGCATTAAGACATCATTATATTCCAGCACTCTTCATGGTTCAAAAAAAAAAAAGGGAATGATTATATATATACATTTTGGAACATCTCCCCAATATATGTGTGCTGCTTATACACAGAAATCAATTTGGGGAAAAAAATCCATAATTAACAGTGTTACTTCTGAGAAATGAGGGGAATTTTACTTTTTTCTTTTGTATTCTTTGAATTTCTTTTTAAAAGACAACGATTCATTTTTGTCCTCTTTTCAGTAATAAATATATTTCTTTTTTAAACATTTATTTTTATTTTATTTTTTTATGGGGTCTTCCAGTGAGGACTGGAAAAACTGCCAGACAAATTTTAAAAGAGCTGTAACACTATTTCTTAGAAATTATTGAAAATTATACTAGGTAATTTTCTAGCAAGGATTGGTATAAAATAATACAATAGTCACCCCTTATCCGCGGTTTCACTTTCTATGGTTTCAGAGATAAACAATTCATAAGTTTTAAATTTCACGCTGTTCTGAGCAGCGTGATGACATCTCATTGCCATCCTGCTCCGTCCTGCCGGGATATGAATCCTCCCTTTGTCCAGCGTATCCACACCGTGGCCCCGAGCCCCTCAGTCACTTAGTAGCGTCTCAGTTATCACATTGGCTGTCTTGTTAACACAGTGCTTGTATTCCAATAACCCTTACTTTACTCAATTGTTCTATTTTATTATTAGTTATTGTTGTTAATCTCTTACTGTGCCTAATTTATAAATTAAACTTTATCATAGGTACATATGTATAAGAAAACACATAGTATATACTGTATAGGATTTGGTACTATCATGAGTTTCAGGCATCCACTGGGGGCTTTGGGACATGCCCGGAGGATAAAAGGGGACTACTACATAACATTCTGGGAGATACTGTGATATTCAGGTTTATTTTGATTCAACAGTTTTAGAACCTACATTGGCGATTCTGTTCCAAACTGCTTCATTAGGTGATTTAAAATTTTTGATTCAATTCATTATTTGGTTTAAAATTAGTATTTCATTCCATTTTTTTTGAGACAGAGTCTCACTCTGTTGCCCGGGCTAGAGTGCCATGGCATCAGCCCAGCTCACAGCAACCTCAGACTCCTGGGCTCAAGCAATCCTTCTGCCTCAGCCTCCCGAGTAGCTGGGACTACAGGCATGCGCCACCATGCCCGGCTGATTTTTCTGTATATTTTTAGTTGTCCAGCTAATTTATTTCCATTTTTTTAGTCGAGATGGGGGTCTCGCTCTTGCTCAGGCTGGTCTCGAACTCCTGAGCTCAAACGATCCACCTGCCTCGGCCTCCCAGAGTACTCGGATTACATGCGTGCGTAAGCCACCATGCCCAGCCTTTCATTCAGTTTTTAACTTAGCAAATCAGCAATTCATTCAGGTTTCTAACTCATGGTTCAGTTAAACTTCCTACTTTATATTCTGCATTCTTTCTTTAAGACCTTTAGTCTACACTGACATATCTAACAATATTTTAAAGAAAGGAAAGAACTCCATTCTTTCAAACTGCTTCTAAAAACTATTTGTATCCCTTCTGGGAGTGAAGGCTGTAAAAGAAATCAAAGTGCTGTAAATCAAACCAGCGTGATTTATCCATTAGATATAGTAGGCACCTTGCCTATGGGCTCAAAAAAACATTTAATTTCTTTTAAAATCAGAAGAAAAAGAAAAAAAAAAATAAATGCAATCCAGTCTGGATTATATTTGTTTTTATACAAATGAGGTTGTAAAGTATAATTTTTATGGAGGAAGGAGCCACAAAGGCAACAGTGCCCAAGGCCCATGAAAGTCATTATGTGTCCCTCGATCAAACCACAGAGTTAGAAAAGTAAGCCTTTTCTTACCTGAATATTTAGGGAAATGCTGATTATCAAGTTTCCTAAAATGGCCAGCAAAACTCCCAAAAGGTGAATCTGAAAAAGAAAATGTTTTCTTTAAAAGGTACTTTAAGTATTAATAGTACTTACACTGAAAAAATAAAGGCAAATTTAGGTTGGTGTATTCATTCATTCATTTGTTCATTTATTCAGTTTTACTTAGCACCCATTTGCCAGGGTAGGTTTGAGATATGAATATGGTTCAATTATGATTAGTTTTTCCCTTTTGTCAAATATTACTCTTTAGAAATCACTCGGTCCTTTCCTGATTTCTCTAGATATCTGTCTGCCTCATTCACTAAAATAAAGAAAATAGTTATCAGGTTCTGACTTTTCCCCACAAAGATGCTGCTTCTTATTCATCCTTTCGTCCATTTTCTTTTCTCTTAATATCTTCTGGAGGACAGTGGTATGAGAGAAAGATCATTGGAGGTAAAAGATAAGTCTGAGACAGAGAGCTGCTATTTTCTAAGTAGGTGATCTTAAGCAAGTCATTTCACTTCCCTGGTCTCAGTAAAAAGGGGATGTTGGATAAGACGTGTCCAGAAATCCCTCTTCCTCTAAAGTCCTATGATCTCCCTGGAGGTAGACTAAATTTTCCTACTGCTCCCCTGGCCAAGAACCCACACTGTCTCCCTACAGTCAACCATATCAAACATGAGACTACTATCCCAGCTCCCCACAATTCGTCCTCACCTGGCCATCTAACCATCTATGGCACGTTTAATGTGCTCCCCCCATCTCAGGTAACCAGCACACATCGTCCTCCCATGAGATGTGACACTTCCTCACGCCACTCGGTTCTTTCCTCAGCCTGTCCAGTCAGCCCTCACCCTCCTGGCCTGCAGAGGCCCAACTCCTTGAGACCTTCTCAGACCACCTCAGCCCATCTTTACTTTCTCAGACTCTAAATGGTAAACCTCCCTTATTTTTTGTTTTATATCGTCCTGTGTGTCATTAGGCTCTACAAATAGAAGGCGAATTCTCTGAGTGAAGAGGACCGAGCCTTCTGCTGCTTCTTGTTGGGTCTTCTACATCATCTACTACATAAAATTAGGAATTTAATAAATACTTGCTTGAAAAAGTATATAATAGTCTAAAACAAGAACTACAGACGTTAAAAAATAAGTTCTTACATGTTGCCCAAGATGTTTCTCATAGATAGCTCAGGTATTATTTGACGATTTCAAAAGATGCATTTACTGCTCCCATCTGGGTCCAAAGGTATAATATTTCCTATTAGTATAACTTAGCAATGATATAAAGAGTCTTCCCCCCTCTATTCTACAGTATATAACTTTTAGTTAGCTTCAAATTCCTAGGAGTTATTTGAATTTCAAATGAATATCACAACTGCAAAGAACCTTTTCCTAATGCAAAATGTCTTTGAAGTTAGAGCTTTATTATATGTGCTGAAGTGAAATCCAGTATTTTTAAAAATGATGCAGAAAAGTTGAAAACTTATTTTATAGTTGATATATAATATCCATGGTCTTTAATCAGTTAAGAATTTTCTTTTCCTAATAAAGGCACTTGGCAATAATTTTGATCAGTATTCCTCATGAGGAAACAATTGTATCACAATACAATATGCTATTTCCATCCTTTCTATTTACAATCTGAAGCACTTGGCTGTAATCAGGAAAATAAAGATTCAGAAGAAATTTGGCATTGAGTGGGTATTTATGAAAATTTCCCATAATTATAAAAGTAAGTTGTTGAATAGAAATAACTTATTTTAAAATTCTTTAAGTCATTCGCTGAGCAGTTTAAATGGCATCAGGCTGGGTATTTAAAAATTGGTGGCAGCATTTGGCAATGATTTCTTGGATATGATACCAGAGCACAGGCAACAAAAGAAAAAATAGACAAATTGTGCTTTATTGAGATTAAAAACTTTTGTGCATCAAAGGACACTATCAAAAGAGCAAAAATGCAACCCGCAGAATGGGAAAAAATATCTGCAAATCATATGTCTGATTAGGGATTGATATCCAGAACACTTAAAGAATGCCTATAACTTAACATGAAAAATAAACCACCTGATTAAAAACTGGACAAAGGACTTAAATAGACATTTTTCCAAAGATGACATACAAATGGCCAATAAACACATGAAAAGATGCTCAACATCAATACTCATTAAGGAAATGCAAATCAAAGCCACCATGAGTTATCACTTCACATTCATTAGGATGGCTGTAATTTTAACAAAAAAAACCAGAAAATAACAAGTATTGGTGAGCACATAGATACATGGGAACACTTGTGCATTGCTGGTGGGAATGTAAAATGGTGCAACCAGTGGAAAGTGGTATGGAGGTTCCTTAAAAAATTAAACACAGAATTACCATATGATCCAGCAATTCCACTTCTGGTTATATATCTAAACAAACTGAAAGCAAAGACATGAATTTGTATATTCATGTTCACAGCACTATTATTCATAATAGCCAAAAAATGGAAGCAACCCAAGTGTCCATCATGAGATGAACAGATAAAAAAAAAAAATGTGGTACATGCATATAATGGAATATTATTCAGCCTTAGAAGGAAGGAAATTTTGATATATGCTATAACATGGATGAACCTTGAGAATATTATGCTAAAAGAGTTTTGTGCCACAGAACTGTACACTTAAACATGGTTAAAATGGTAAAATTTTATATTATGTGTATTCTACCACAATGGAAAAAAATTAATGGTGGAAGAAGTCAAAGTGTGCTTTGACTTGAAGAAGTAAGGAAAAGCTCACCTGCTACGGAATAGCTCCTTGGCCCAGGGTTAAGAGTCAGCATTATGCTGTCATTCCTTTAATTTAAATATTTTCCTATCACAGTATTTTTTTCCTAAAGCAGATATTCCTGGAAGGGTATAAACTATTAAATTATTAATATCTTAATGTAAATGTGCCAGAGAAATTAATTGAAAGCTGAGTATGGTAGATTGCAAAAATGAACACAATTCTTCACTCCTCCCTACATCCATACCCTTGGCCAGGTAGCTTTGTACCTCCTCCCATTGTAAGGTACACTCTATTTCCCTACACCTTGAATTCAGGCTGGCCAGGGACTACAAATGCAGTGAAGGTGTGTGAGTTCCAGGACTAGGCCTCAAAAGGTACCACCTGCTTATTCTTTTAGAAAGTTCTTGAGAACAAGCCCAGGCTAGTCTGCTAGATGATGACAGATGGGTACCCAAGCAACCCTGTTGGCCTAGTGTCTATGGCCTAACCAACAGTCAGTCAATGGCCAACCTGAGAGGGAGGCCATCCCTAGACCCGCCAGCTCCTGGTTGACATACCAGCTGACTGCAGAGGCATGAGTGAGCCCAGCTGAACTCAGCCAATCCTGACCACATATAAAATATACTTATAAATACTAATTTAAAACTACTAAATTAAACTTTTTAAAAATTGCTATAGAATCAACATTTTATTTCTGCAGCATTTTATTTCTTTTTCTCAGGAAATGACTTACAGATTTCTGTAGAACTAGAGGGGATAGTCTATATTTCCTAATCAGCAATGCCAATCATGCTATCTTATTAGCTTTTTGTTTATTTATTTATTTATATTTTTTTAGAGACAGGGTTTCGCTGTGTCACCTAGGCTGGAGTGCAGTGGCGCAATCATAGCTCACTGTAGCCTTGAACTCCCGGGCTCAAGTGATCATCCTGCCTCAGCCTCCTGAGCAGCTAGTACTATAGGGGCATACCACCACGCTTAGCTAATTTTTAAAGCTTTTTTTGTAGAGATGGGGTCTTGCTATGTTGCCCAGGCTGGTCTCAAACTCTTGGCCTCAAGGGATCCTCCTGCTTTGGCCTCCCAAAGTGCTGGGATTACAAGTGTGAGCTACCACACCCGTCTGATTTTAACTTTTTAAACCATCACTATAGGGTTAAAAGAGCTCACATTATAATATTTCCTTTCCTACCATTTTCCCCATAACTTTATGGATTATTATAAAAGCTACTCATATTTCAAAATGGCCTGGATATAAAATTTACTTTATTGTTCCTGAAGTTAAAATTAACTTTGAAGGTTGTTACCTCCTTACTCCCTGGAATCTACATGAGGCGAAAATTTAGAAATTTAAAATTAGCCATACACACGTTCCTCCCAACCGAATAATAGTCATCAAAATCATGTGGGAGTTCAACTTTACATCCCAAGAAACTACAAGAGGAAGACTGCCCTTTTTTCAGTCTAAGTCTAGTTCTGAATATTATAAGATAATTAACAAAAGTAGGAACAACCATAAACTACATCTGAGTGAATCAGATGTATTTAAATGACTAAGCAGAAACTAGCAGGCAAAAAGATATTTGAATATGCATGATTTCTTTTCACAAAGAATGGGAAGACAGGTATCACCTTAGTTGAGTCCTTCCTAGACTTTCTCACCTATCAAGGGATACCCTCTATATGTTTCTCCCTGAACACTTAAGATGGACTCCTTTTGTAATATATGTATGTCTTTATTAACACAATAAAAAATAAGTTCTGGTGGCAAGTCCATAAACTACCGTGAGTTCACAGTGGGGACGAGCAAAACTATATAGGCATACCTCAGAGATATTGTTTGGTTCCAAACCACCACAATAAAGTGAATATTGCAATAAAGTGAGTCACAAAAATTTTTTGGTTTCCCAGTGAATATAAAAGTTATGTTTACACTACACTGTAATCTGTTAAGTGTGCAATAGCATTATGTCTAAAAAAAATGTACACCTCTTAATTTAAACATACATTATTGCTAAAAAATGCTGGTGATCATTTGAGCCTGCAGCGAGTCATAATCTTTTTGCTAGTGGGAGAGTCTTGCCTCAATGCTGACGGTGCCGACTGATCAGGGTGGTGGATGCTGAAGGTTGAGGTGGCTTTGGCAAGTTCTTAAGATAAGACGACAATGAAGTTTACTACGTCAATTGCCTCTTCTTTTCACAAAAGATTTCTTTGTGGCATGCGATGCTGTTTGATAGCATTTTTACCCACAGTAGAACTTCTTTCAAAATTGGAATCAGTCTTCTCAAAC